ATTGTGAGAAATTGTTAAAAAAGAGTGAGATCTAATATTTTGTATTGTTTGGACATAAAATTAATTATAGTGTTGTTTGGAAACATAGATAGTAGTATACAAATGAGTATATTGTTTGGAAACATGAATAGTAGTATAAAAAAATAAATATATTGTTTGGAAACAAGGATAGTAGTATAAAGAAAGAAATATTATTGTAGGTTTAACTATAAAGTAGAAAGATGTATTTAATTTAAAAATTCACAAAATAAATATTAGGTCCAACCTAATGTTCCTAATTTAATAAAATAGATCTTTTGAAAAACAAATAGAGAAATTCTTTCGAGATATATATACTATACAAAAGACAATATTTTAAAAGTTTTTAGAGTCTTTACAACAAACTAAATATTCTACATTTAAAAATCTGTCATTTTATTCCTATGTAAGTCATGTCATTATTTAAACTCATCTCGCATCTCTACTGTGTCTCTTCTCCTAAACACGTCCGACCACTGATGTAATAGCTTCAGAGCCTAGTATTACAAAGTTACAAACTCAGTCCTGGAAAATCAAAACTCCACAAAAATGAAGCATCTACTTTGGCAAATAGCATCGAACTATCCGGCGGTAACAAGAAATCTAACTCATCGTCATATGTGATGCGCGCGACAATCACTTCCCAAGATGTGGGGAAGAAGACGAATCAGTTAACTATGCGATCTTTGAATGCCTGTCTGCTCTCCAAACATGGACTCATGTCTCAACACCATCAAATCCTGTGGTATTCTCTAGCTCGAGTGTCTATACCAATTTGGACTATATGTTCTAGAGGAAGAGTGCAATTGAGGATCCAGAATTAAAAAGAGATTCATATCCTTGAATCATCTGGTATCTCTGGAAAGCCATAAATGATAAGATGTTCAGAGGAATAACAAGAAATCCTCTTGAGCTGGTTAGATTTGCGGAGGCATAATGCAATACTTGGTTTGAAGCCAATTCAAAGCCTATGAATAATATACACGCCATCCTCAGGAAATACAAGCCTTATTATTTACCTGGCGGATGGGTCATGGACAATAAAATCTCATTTTAGTGGGTACGGTTGGGTATACCTTGATGATATTGGAAGAGAGAAACTCATGGGGTTGGAAAACAATGAGAGACGATTGTCTCCGTTGTATTCCAAATTAGGAGCGCTCATTTAGGCAATGGAAAATATGGCGCAGAATACTTCTTGCCAACATTTCGGTACCGATTGTAAGGATGTAATAGCAATGATCAAGGACCCAAAAGCATGGCCAAAAATTTTGACGGAGCTTATGGAGTTCGAAGTTGCAAAAGAGTGGTTTCAATACTTCAAGATCACCCATATTCCGAGGAACCACAACAAGACAGCAGACACGCTTTCCCGGACGGCTCAATCTTTTCATAGAATCTTACTTGTTCTATCCCGGTCTAGATTATCAAACCATCTCTAGCCTGAGTGATTGAACAATCTTTTGATGTAAAAAAAACACGTCTGACTGAAGATCAACTATCTTTGAAATTACCACTGGAACCGGTATGCCAATTGGTTTAAGCGCATGTATTGATATTGGTGTAGACTCAAGATTTTGAGTTGGAATGGAGCCGGTTGAGATTGGTTCAGTTGGAATTATTGAAGAACGAGATGGGTGCGGTTTAGCAACTTGAAGAATATGAGATCGTAATTCAAGTAACTATGAGGAGTACAGAAATATATAAAAAGAAGATTTCGAAGAATCTTCACAGGTCATGATATATAAGGAAGTGGCGACCTAAGAAAGTGGCTGCGCTTTCTGAGAGATGGAGATATAGGCAAAAGAATCTTTGGGCTAGAGATGTGACAACAAGAGAAATTTAAGAGTAGCAACTAGGGTTGTGGTTCTCACGTTTTGGGTAATTAAGAATCGATCAGTCGTGATACACAAGTGCGTGTAGTCACAGAAATCTGATTAAACAAGATTGTTAAGTTTGTTTAAAAGATTCTTAACAAAATTATTGATTGGAGGAATTTCATTGTGTTCAAGCTACTTATATCATCTATGTTCTAGGTATTTCATTTGGTATCAGAGCGGTCAACCTCTTCGATATCTGGTATCTTCTACATGTTAAGATCTTGGGAAGAACATAGATCATATGAATGAGCTAATTGCCGTGCAAAAGCCAATCATGCTGGATGTCGGAATCTTTGGAAATTGGAAAGTCCAGATGAGGCATGTCATTCGTGGTATTGATGAGGAAGCGTGAACTGCTGTTGTGAATGGTTGGTCTGAACCTACCATGTATGATGAGAAAGGAAAGGAAGTTACCAAGCCGTTGGAACAATGGACGACTGAAGAAAATAATGCGTCTAAATTGAACTCAAAGGAAATCTCCATTATCTTCTCGCTGTTGACAAAGACCAGTTCAAGATCCTTCAAAGATGTGCATCAGCCAAGGCTGTTTGGGATATGCTGGTTAACTACTTTGAAGGTGATATGAGTGTCAAGAAGTCTCGTCTTGATCATCTTGGGACCAAGTGGGAGAATCCAAGGATGGAGGAAGATGAAGAACTAGGAAGATTTACTGCTAAGCTGAATACAATTGCGAATGAAGCTGCAGTTATGGGTGAAAATTACTCCGAAAAGAAGCTCGTCAAGAAGCTCATCATATGTCTTTCTAAGCAGTTTGAGGCTTACAAAACTGTCATTAAGGCCATTATGAACTCGGATGAAGTACATGTGATGTATGTGTCTATATTTTTGTATGTTTACATTGCGTAAGTTTTATGTTAGCATTTGGAAAAACAATGTATAACGTTTATGGTTTTTAAAACTTTTTGGATTGTAGATTAATAATAAGTTAAGTCTTGCAAATATTGTGAACCACTACTTGTCAAACGTCTTAACATATGGTCAGTTCAATATACTTCGATTCAGGTGCATCAAAGCATAACTCTGACTAATACTTTGATTCAGGTGCATCAAAGCATAACTCTGTTTAATCTGGCTTCTCACTTACAGTAATAGATCATGTACTGGTGAAACTTTCTAGTTTGTGTGAGCGTTATCATGATCTAATCGTAAAGATATGAATCGTATAGGTATCTCCAAAACATTTTTTGTAAAGAGGTGAGAGCAATATCCCCAATATTATATGCTATATTGTGAATAGTTTATACGATATTAAACATTTTAAACGATATGTAAAGAGGTGAGAGAATATTTTTTCTTATATGCTATATTTTGAATATTTAAATGACTATAAATTACTAAGACTATTAAAATCCCACAATGAAATTTTGTGATCAAGGGTTTAAATTTTTTTGTTATAATAAAATACAAATAATTATAAAAATCATATAAATATAGAGTCGTATTTAATATATAATCAGATTAAATATTATATATATATATATATATATATATATTTCAGTATCATTTAAATAAAATAAATATCATATATAAAATACATAAGAGTGTTGATTAGGAAGCCTCATATAATAAATATTAATATTAATAAAAACAAAATGTTTGTTCTACCAAATAGTATAAAGAATCTCAAATTATTGTAAATTATATATTTATTATTGCATAATACGAAAATGAACAAAAAATAATAATAATATGTATACATAATTAATTTTTTTTTTAGCAAATGTTATTTGATCATATCATTTTAGAAATACCATTCTTTATACTGAAGTGAGAATGTGAATGACAATATCCCGTTGAAATCATTGAAATCTAATGTGAATTAAATAGGTTTTTATAAAAAAAACCAAAATAACGTGATATTCAACAACCTTATATTAACGGTCCATGATTATACGTTTGGGAACTTAAGAAACGATGGTTGAACAATCAAAACTAATATTTAAAAAATTTAATGTATATAAATTTCATTGTGCATGAGTGCGGTTAATCATCTAGTTTTAGTCTATTACTCAAACACGTATTCGTATCCCATTATTTAAAAAAAAAATATTATTAGTAGACCTTTTTATTTCAAAATGAATTTAGGTGTGGCGTATATATACTGAACTTTGGATTTAAATGACACGAAAGAATAACAAATAATTTAAATGTAGATATATATTTTGGTCACATATACGTATATTGTTAAGTTATTCTATAGTTGACACTCTTTCATTAAAGTTGAATTTGACTGCATCCTATATATACTGGACCTTAGTGGTTAAATGTCATGATAAAAATATAGAGTTGTTCAAGCTTAGACGGACAATTAAGTCACTTTGTAATGTCTCTTTCTTTCAAGCAGAATGCGAATTATGGTTTGAAGCCAAGAATTTCACCAGAGGTTACATTGATTGGTAACCATGTAGAATGGCGGAATGGCTCATGAAACACGATTTCGCAAGAATTATACCAATCAACAAAATTTTGCGGAATGAAAAAAAAACGCAAAAACGTTTTTGCTGACAAAAATATAAAGAAAAATTTTATTAAGTGAAAAATTGGGTTTTAGTAGATTATAGTGGAAAATTTTACAAATTAATAATTACATGTTATTAAATTATATGCTAATACTACCTTAAAATAGAAAATACATATCAATAATTTTTAATGATAAATAATTATGCTGTAAATAAAGTTCTATTATAATTTGTATATTATAAAATGTCAATCTATTGTTAAAATGTATTGAATGATAAGCTAGATATTTATAATAAAAACTAAAACGTTTTTAATAAATTTTAGTTGTTTTCACATTTGTAATAATTAGTTTAATTATTACTAGTTGTTTTTATAACAAATTAAATACGATATAAAATATTTTAATCAATTTAATATATATTTTTCCATTCCGCAAATTTTAAATTTTTTCACGACTTAATTATTTTTTCTGCAACTTAACTATTATTTCTGTGATTCCGCAATTACGCGATGGTTACCAATCGGAGCCATCTCAAACTACAGTATTTTACAGGTTTTTGAAATCTACTCTTCTTTATTTTTGGCCATCGAATGAAAGGAACAATGCCATATCCTGTGTGGTCATACATTAGCATTGTGCTGAACTCTTGGTCCTCTGCTTCGGTCTCGCTCAATTTGGCAAAACGTCCATTGATCCTTGGTCTTCTCTCTGCATATGCCTTTCTTGAAGCATACCTTATTGTCTTCTCAAACTTTCTTTTCTTCTTCTTCTCTCTGTATCCCAGTACTCTAGCTTCTCTGTCCATTGGACTGAGAATCTGAGTTAGTGGTTCAGGTAGTTGCTGTATCTTCCCTTTGTGCGTTTTTGGGTGTGAAACTGTTGTCTCACGTGCTGTCTGCTCCCGCACATAGTGAGTTTCCACTGATGGATTGTATGCCTAATTACAAAAAAAAACAAAGACAATTCTCAATCCCCTTGGTGAGAAGACTGAAGAGAAGCACCTTCTTTTAATTATTATATACTTCTAGTCAAATTTCTATGTACTACATATCAACTGTAAGTAGTTAATATGTGATTTGTGTGTATAATGAAAAAAGGAAATATAAAAAAAGTCTTACGTTATGGTTTATGGAACCAGTGTAGTTGTAGTGAATTCCTCAGGAGCCATATGTGATATTCTCTTGCTTGTGGCGCAGGTTTCCTCTTGTTTCTTCAAGTTGGAGTGGAACAACTCTATCTCCTCTATAGTTTGTTTGTGGTACGGTGCAGTCTTGCTTATTGTAGAGTTATCAGATTCAAAATACTTAGGTTAAAGACTTCTACGTGATTTTGATTTGTATTGTTTTGTTTCAGGTTTTAGATCAACAAATGAGACAACACAAGATTTGTTCACCCGGTGTTCGCTGATCTACTCACCGGGGAGGAATCGGAGTTCCTCAACAGATTCACTAATCAAACTTGATCAAGACTACACACTGAGTATAATCGAAAACAGAGCTTTACAAGAGAAATCTCAAGAAACGATCGTATCCTCTGTGGAATCGGAAAGTTACCGCCGGACTGGTTCGATCCAACCGTGTACCGCCTTCGCAACTCCGTCGATAGCCACCCTCACGATCACACAAGCTAAGTCGCAGCTTTATCTCTCTACTCTCTCAATACCTTGATCTTGTTTCTCTCTCTTCGTCGTCACACCGAGACGATGATTCAAAAGTTTGTTTTGTAACAAACTTTTTCCCACTTGCGTACCAAAACGCAGTCGTATCAATTAGTGATTATCCAACTTGGGCTGAGACTTGGCTTTCTCAAATGCAGGCTTCGGGAATGAAGCTGATGGGCCTTAGAAGAAGAAAGCCCACTTGGAGTTTGGCTGAACCTGATCCACAAACTCCACCTTTCAGACATAACACCAAGTGTTTTCATTTCACGCGAAACCCTAGCCACTCAACTCTTCTGCTTCTGTCTGAGGCGATTCACCGTCTTCAACAAACCGTGTCAACCTCGACTCTTCTGAAGCTCTTCTCCGATTCACTCCACCTCTGAGAGTAGCACAAACCAACAGGTACTCTCTCAAACTCTTCATTTCTCTTATCAGAAACTACCAGATATGCGAAACTCGCATAAGACCTCTTTCTGACACTTTATCTTGTCTTCTTTCTGCAGATCCTGAGAGTCTCACCAAACATAGATCCGATAAACAGACGATGACTCTGCATGTCCCTTATCTGACCCAACGAACCCTCAAACTTCTCTGCATGAACCAGATCCGAATCACAAACCAACCGATCTATCCATCTGACATCAAAAGGCTCCACCTTTAACCAACTCACACCTCAGATAAGTCTCAAAGACCTTTCTTCTTTGGTTAGACATAGAGCATCAATCACTTAGAACCTGATAGAAAAATTTGATCTTTCTGACTCGGCAATCCTTTCTGTTTCAGGAACCATGAAGAGACTCCACCTGAAACTGAAGACACACATCAACTCCACCTCGCTTCCAGAACTCGGGTAATGACTTTTAACACTTTAAACTGCTATGTTGAAACTCAAAACAGAAACGATTAGCTTAATAAAGACTAACACACTTCTCTCTGTCTTGCGAGGTAAAAGTTCAACACTGAAGCCATGTCATCACCCGTAGCCGCAACCGGACTCAGAACAGATTCACCAATTCAGAACACAGCCTGAACTTCGGACCAGGTAACACCTTTGTCAAAAAATCTGCTGGATTCTTGCTTGTGTGAATCTTGTGTAGAACAACATCACCCTGAGCAACAATATCACGGATGAAGTGATATTTGTTTGCAATGTGTTTAGTCTTTTCATGATACACTGTATTTTTAGCTAGGGCTAGAGCACTTTGAGAATCACAGTGTAATTTGACCTTGTCAATTTTTAGACCCAACTCGTTGCAAATACCTTTTAACCAAATAGCTTCCTTGGTTGCTGAGGCGAGTGCCATATACTCAGCTTCAGTAGTTGATAGAGCAACAACTGATTGTAGATTAGACCTCCATGATACAGTGTTTCCCCAAACTTTAAACACATATCCTGTAACTGAACGCCTTCTGTCTAAATCAGCTGAGTAGTCTGAATCTGAAAACCCTTCAACTTAACATTCTGAATGTTTGATGAAAGTTAGACAAGTTTTAGATTCTCCTCTTAGAAATCTGAGTATCCATTTCACTGCTTGCCAATGATTCATTCCTGGTTTACTCATAAACCGACTCACAACTCCCACTGCATGAGCTAAGTCTGGTCGGGAGCCTATCATGGCATACATTAGGCTCCCCACAGCACTCGCATATGGGATGTTTTCCATTCTCAAAGCTTCTGTTATAACTTCCTCTTTGGTTAAACTCTTCAGTTTAAATTGAGGCACCAACGGAGTTGAAGTTGACTTAGCTTTTTCCATTCCGAAACTCTTAAGAACCTTCTCAATGTAGTTTTCCTGAGATAGTATAAGAGTACCCTTTTCCCTGTTTCGAATTATATCCATACCCAGTATTCTCGAAGCCTTTCCCAGATCCTTCATCTCAAACTCTCTGCTCAAGCTATCTTTAGTTTTCTGTATTTCAGTCAAATCACCTGACGCTATTAACATATCATCAACGTATAGCAGTAGGTAGATAGCCTTAGGAGTATTGATGTTTCTTAGGTATACACACGAGTCGTACTTGCTCTGTTGGAACTTCTCCCTCTTCATAAAACTGTCAAACCGTAGATTCCATTGTCTTGGAGATTGCTTTAAGCCGTAGAGAGATTTCCTTAGTAGACAGACCTTGTTCTCATCTCCTGATTTAATGTACCCTTCAGGTTGATCCATTAGAATCCTTTCTTCTAGAGAACCGTGTAGAAAAGCTGTCTTAACATCCATCTGTTCTAGCTCATAGTCTCTGTTAACCACAATAGATAGCATTATTCTGATAGAAACATGTTTTACCACAGGAGNCCGTAGAGAGATTTCCTTAGTAGACAGACCTTGTTCTCATCTCCTGATTTAATGTACCCTTCAGGTTGATCCATTAGAATCCTTTCTTCTAGAGAACCGTGTAGAAAAGCTGTCTTAACATCCATCTGTTCTAGCTCATAGTCTCTGTTAACCACAATAGATAGCATTATTCTGATAGAAACATGTTTTACCACAGGAGAAAATATCTCATTGTAGTCAATGCCTTCTTTCTGTGAATAACCCTTAGCTACGAGTCTAGCTTTATATCTTCTCTCTTCAACTCCTGGAATCCCTGGTTTATATTTGTAGAGCCATTTACAACCCACAGTCTTCTGTCCCTTTGGTTTTTCGATTAGATCCCAAGTATGATTCCGAGTTAAGGAATCCATTTCATCATCCGATGCATTGTTCCATAGCTTCTTATCTTTGCTTCTCTGAGCTTCCTGATATGACTTAGGTTCATTTTTCTCAATATCATCTGCTACTGCTAGCGCATATGCAACCAAATTTGCATCCTCATATCTAGATGGTGGTGGGACATTTTGTCTTCGAACTCTATCTCGAGCTAGCATGTAGTTATCAAGAGGAACATTAGCATCGGTGTCTTCTTCGAAATGTAAACCCTCTGTTTCATCCTCACTGTCTGAATTTTCTGAACTTTCATACTCTTCTGTGTCTTGTTGAGATGCTTCGGTATTTCCAACACCAGAAGATTCACCATGTTCATATTCTGGACTGTTAGGACCTCTGATCAGACTTGGACTAAACGAAACCTTCTTCTTAGGTTTACTTGTCCCTTCTTGTGTAGTTTCTGAACCCTTAGTACGATCTGTAGTATTCTGAACTTGAGTATCCTTATAGATCTCTTCTTCTCTGAACACAACATTCCTACTCGTAGTACACTTTAGATCCTCAGGAATCCACACCCTGTAACCTTTAACCCCAAACGGATAGCCAAGAAACACTCCCTTTACAGCTCTAGGACTAGTCTTCTCCTGAGTGACATGCACATAAGCTGTGCATCCAAACCTCCTCAGATGTGATAAATCAGGCCTGTTCCCTGACCAAACTTCCTCTGGCAGTTTGAAGTCAATGGTTGAATTTGGAGTCCGATTTATCAGATATACTGCAGTTGATGTAGCCTCTGCCCAAAACTCTTGTCCCAAACCTGTTTCAGCCAACATGCTTCTCACTTTATCCATAATGGTGCGGTTCATACGTTCTGAAACCCCATTTTGTTGAGGAGTGTAAGTGCAGGTTCTGTGCCTCTTAATACCTGACTTTCTGCACAGATCATCAAACTGATTATTGCAGTATTCCAAGCCATTATCTGTGCGTAAACATCGGATACTCTTCTTTGTATAACTCTCTACAGCCTCCTTCCATTCTTTGAACTTAGAGAAAGCTTCATCTTTAGTTCTTAGGAAATACACCCAGACCTTTTTAGAGTAGTCATCGATGAAGCTAATGAAATATTTGCAACCTCCCAGACTTTCTGGAGTTGAGGGAGATCCCCAAAGATCTGAATGCACATACTCAAGTATTCCTTTTGTAGTGTGCTTAGCCTTAGGAAAACTTTGTTTGTGTGATTTTCCCAATACGCATCCTTCACAAAACTCTAGTTCTCCAACTTCAGTCTTTGGCAGAAAACCATCCTTCACTAATATCTCCATGTTCTTAAAACTCATATGACCAAGGCGTGAATGCCATAATGTAGTTTTAGAACTTATAGCTTGACTTACATTTGCTTCACCTTTTGATACAGTACCTTGTAGATAATAAAGTCCATTTGCATATTTGCCTGAAATGACCTTTTGTCCTTCCTTATAGAATGTGACTTTAAAATCTTCGCCTGCATAATTGCATCCTGACTTCTCAAGCATACCATAGGAGATAAGATTTCTACTCATGTCAGGCATATAGCGTACGTCTTTAAGAATAATCACATCTCCATCATCATTTGTGATTCGTATATTGCCAATGCCTTTTACTTCACTCTGAGTATTGTTAGCCATTAAAACCTTACTGCCATCTCTGTCCCTTAGATCAAACAAAACGTCTTTGTCAGGAGTAATGTGAAACGTGCAACCAGAGTCTAGTATCCATTCTTGTTTAGAATCATGAGTACTTGCAGTTAGAACTAGTGGTTGCCTTCTTTCTGTTACAGCATTGACTTCTTGTTCACTATTACTTCTCTGATCTCTGTTAGGCCATTCACGTTTCCAGTGACCTTCTTTTCCACATTTGAAACATGCTCCTTTCTTTGTTTTGTTTGACCTGCCTCTGGACTTTGACCTGTCTCCTCTACTCTTTGATCTGTAATTTTTCTTACTGTTGTTACCATTGTCTTGTCGCTTAGATGACCTTCCTCTTGACTCAACATATAACCCTTCAGAGTTAGGCTTCTTCTTATTTAACAACCCTTTTTGTCTAAGCTCTGCTTCTTTTGAATATGCTGAGGTAACAACTTCAGAAACCGTGAGAGTATCTTTTCCTGTACCATATTGAAGAGTGTGTACCAGTGGCTCATACGCAGCAGGAAGACCAGAGAGCAACTGGATCGCTTGATCTTCATCTGATATGGTAANTTTTGTAACAGGAAAATTGCTTCTTGAGATAGATCCTATTAGGGAGTGACTTGAGTTGGTACTGCTTTTCAAGTGCCTTCCACATTCCGAGAGCGGTAGGCTCATTCATAACCTTCCTCAAGATAGAGTCGCTCAAGCTAGCACCAAGTAAGCTCCGTACTCTCAAGTCCTTTTCAGCTTTCTTTTGGTCAATTACTGGATCTTCACCTTCTACTTGCTTTTCAGATGTAGAGTAAATGGTGAAACCATCCACAATTGCTTGCAGAAGCCCCTGGATCTCAAGCTGCCCCATCATCTTGTACTTCCATAGACCGAAGTCTCCTTTACCATCGAACTTGTCAATATGAAACTTTCCGTGTGTTGGTTCCATCTTGTTCACTTAACACACTGAAGGTTCACTGCAACAAGATCACACAACACAAGCAACAGCCACAACACGCCTCAAATACAGATAAGTAAACCTAACTTTCAGATCTGACCTCCTCTTAATCCTAGCACCCAACCTTGTGCTCTGATACCACTTGTAGAGTTATCAGATTCAAAATACTTAGGTTAAAGACTTCTACGTGATTTTGATTTGTATTGTTTTGTTTCAGGTTTTAGATCAACAAATGAGACAACACAAGATTTGTTCACCCGGTGTTCGCTGATCTACTCACCGGGGAGGAATCGGAGTTCCTCAACAGATTCACTAATCAAACTTGATCAAGGTACAACGACTACACACTGAGTATAATCGAAAACAGAGCTTTACAAGAGAAATCTCAAGAAACGATCGTATCCTCTGTGGAATCGGAAAGTTACCGCCGGACTGGTTCGATCCAACCGTGTACCGCCTTCGCAACTCCGTCGATAGCCACCCTCACGATCACACAAGCTAAGTCGCAGCTTTATCTCTCTACTCTCTCAATACCTTGATCTTGTTTCTCTCTCTTCGTCGTCACACCGAGACGATGATTCAAAAGTTTGTTTTGTAACAAACTTTTTCCCACTTGCGTACCAAAACGCAGTCGTATCAATTAGTGATTATCCAACTTGGGCTGAGACTTGGCTTTCTCAAATGCAGGCTTCGGGAATGAAGCTGATGGGCCTTAGAAGAAGAAAGCCCACTTGGAGTTTGGCTGAACCTGATCCACACTTATGTTTATTGTATTGACCAGCGAATTTGTAGTCCATACTCGAGCTGTAATCAGCAAGGTCTGGATAGTCATCATTAAACAATAACTCATTGTTCTTGTTATTGTTATTGTAATTGTTATTGTAATTGTTATTGTGATTGTCACTGTGTTTAGGGAACAACAATGAAGTCGTCTCTTTGGCATCCTCTTGAACTAACACCAGACTCTTCTCTGGATCAGTCATTGATGTTTGGTGAGTGGTGACCAAGGAGCTGCAAGAATTTCCAGCAGTTATCGGCAGAACTGGAACTCGCTGATGGCTTCTTGCAAGAGGGTTTGCGGAGTGAACCTCTGAATCACAGGCTGTGCATAGAGACACATCATCTGCTATGCCCAAGTTTTTAGGGTTAACAACTTAACATGACAGCGAGGAATGAGAAGATGAAGTAGTTAAGAAGTATGATAATGGCTAGGAATCAGTAACTCCAAACGTTACTGACAAATATAAGAGAAATCAAAATGACGGGACTCGAAGATCACGCAGAGCTTCTTCATATCGATTCGAATCACCCAATATCTCGAAACTCCATCGTTGGTATCAGAGAAAGAAGAAGAGTATAGCTGGTCTAAGCAGAACACAAACCCTGTAGATTTAGGTGACAACTTTGGGGGAAGATGATACTTGCCTCCCTATATTGGGTTCAATTTTGATGATTAAAACAAGGGTTAACGACCTATTTTCACACCATAACTATCATATAGTAACAGTTCCATGCAAAATTTCATCCACGTCATAATTAAACACAATATAACTATCTCAACCTATTACTTCCTAATTCGAAAGATCGAAACCTGAATCCACATGAACTTTAATGTACAATCTAAAACCAACAAAAAGCGGTTTATAGTTGGTTAACTATTTTTTGATTAAAACGTTAACGAATGGTTAACATAATTTAACACAAACGACCCGACTGGAAAGGTTAAACCGACATAAATGGACGAATTAATCCGAATCTAGAACCAAATCCTATAATCTGACCCAGAAACCCGACATATTTAAGCTTATGATTAACCCAGATCCGAAAAAAAATTGTCAACTCAAATCATGTGTTCCATTTTCACAATCGAAAATAAAAGTGAAGTTTGAGAGAAGATTGAAGTCAACAAGAAAATATTAAAGGGACCTAAAATACAATATATTTTTCTGTAGAGAGATAGATCTATGTTCATTCAGAAAATGATAGATCTATATTTACAGATAAGCTGGTGTTTCAAAAAAAAAAAAATATTTACAGATAAGCTGTGGAGAAGATGAAGTTTCATTAATAAATACGTAGGCTAGTATGTATATGGAGTTATATATCTTATCCATATAGAATTAAGATGCAGTAGGCTAGTGTTTGATGACTTTTTAAATAGAGTGATTTAGTGGAATACCCATATTTGGAGTCATAATTAGAGTTTTGCACATGAGTTGATATAATAAGTCAAAAGGCTACAATTATAGCTTGCTTTGCCCAAAATAACCTTGGAGATGATTGAATTCTCTTTCCCTTCTCATAAATTCTCTTTCTTTCTCTGACACTCTCTCTCAATTTTTTTTCTTTAATTCGTTAACATTCATTTTCCTCCCTCACATGTTCTTTTTTTTTTCTCTATTTTTTCTCAACGATAACACAGTCTTTTATTTTATTTTCACTTCTTTTCTTTTTAAATTCACCCAGTTCAACAGAGAAATTGAAACTTCAACAATATAAATTTTTAACATATAATACCTAACACATGTATTGACATCTACAAATTTGTTAATAATTAACACAACTGTTAACACTTATAGTACATGTTATTTTAACAGCTAACACATCTGTTAACAACTACAAAAATTGTTAACAGTTACTGTTTCTGTTAGTACATCTGGTAAATGTATTTGTTAACTGCTAACACATCTGTTAACATCTACAAAATTTGTTAACAGTTAATGTCTATGTTAACACAAGTATTTATTAACAATTAACACAAGATGTTAGGTATTAACTGTTAACAAATAGATAATTTAAATTTTTTATTTTTTTTATCAGAGTGAATAAATATAAAAAATTAAAGATATTCTTTAAAACCACATAAGAAATATATATATATATTTGAATGAGTGAAAAAATAATTAAAAGAGAGAATGAATAAAAAAATGATGATAAGAGAGTTTGAAAATGGGAAGAAGTGTAATCGAATGAAAGAGAGAGAATGTCAGAGAAAGTAGGAAGAGAGAATGTGAGAAAACTAGCAAATAGAAGGAAAGAAAATGAGGGGTGTTTTGGTCATAAAATCTAAATAAGTCAAATCATGTATAAATGGCTAATATGAGCACCAATTATGGTGCTGGAGCCAATTATCTCTTTTAAATAGTGTCCGGTCACAAGTTCAAACAATTTGTAATGCATCTTGTTTTACGCTTTTAACGAAATGAATACAAATAAACGACTTTGCCCTTATCTTCAACTTTTTCTGCGATTTGCAGACCTATGATCCTGAATTTTCACTTATTTTTTCAGCATTTACAGCTTTCTTGACTGGTTCTTGTTAGATTTATCCAAATATAACATACCCATATTATAAACTATGATTTAGCACTTGTAATTTTGATTTTTTAAGTTTTTTTCCATTTCATTCCCTAGATTAATTGATTATGACCAAACTAAAAATCAGTAAGGCAGGCTAAATATTCCACTCAAAGCTCTGGCTGTAGTAATTGACAACATAAACATCATTAATTTTGATCGATGGAGATTTAAACAATCAAATTTTACAATTCAGTTTTTAGGGTTCTTCATGTTCTATTTGGGATTTTAAAAGACACGGGTCGGATTTTATCCGATTATAGTTGGATCCTCCTTTGGGTCGGATTGTACCAATATAAACCAATACCAACAGGTTTAATATCGGTTTAAAATTATAAACCATTTGAACCAAACCTCATCTTCGTATGTGTGGATTCGAATTTCGATCTTTCGAATTATAGGATAATTGGTTGAGATAGTTAAATTGTGTTCAATTATGGTGATGATGAAAGTTTGTGTGGAACTATTACTATATAATAGTTATGGTGTTGAAATAGGTAAAGCCCAACTTTGTTTCGCGAGGCCCATAAAAGAAAGCTCAAGTACACATGGCGTACACTCTTGATTCAACTTTCCTAGTTGGCGCTGAAGTGCAGGGGATTAGAAAGAAGGAAACATGATTTTATATAGATAGATATTTTATATAAATAAATAAATATATATATATATATTATTCTATTTGATCAACTTTAAATATATTACATTATATTTTAATATTTTAATTTAGATACATAACATAACTCAAATTATTTATTACTTATAATATCTTATTTAATATTTTGCATTAATAAGTTGAGGTATGTTTTAAACGTATGGATATATATATATGTGTTATTATATATATATATATATATATATATATATATATGTAATTATTTTAGTTTATAACTTATAAAACAATTAGTAAATAATTTGAGTTAGATTATGTATCTTATTACTTTAATAATTTAATTATGAATATGAACTATGCATATATAAATATTATAAAATGTTATTTCTTATTATATAACTCAAAATGAATTAATTTTCATTTTAACAAAACTTTAAAAAGAATTAAGATTTTTCATTATTTAAAAAGAATATTAAAACAATAAATATATATATTTTAATAAAAAGATGTTAAAATGAAATATTAGAAAAGATACTTACAAATACCTTTTCATATCTTATTTTGAAAATATTTCAATAATATGTTAATATTATGTGTATATTTAATAACTAAGTTTGTTATATGCAAAATAATAAACATTAAATAAATGGAATAGTTCAACCTAGACTATTTCTAAGCTGATAAATTTTGTTGTTGTTTTAATAGTATTTGACTAGATACAAATCGTGTTAACAAAGCGCGGGATAATTTGTTGATTTGTATTAATTTAACCTAGGTTTTCGCATAAAATTCGTAACCTGAATTCTGAATCGAACCAAACTAAAAAAAACTCCATACATACTCTATCTGAAATGTAATAAATACCATAATGAGTCTTCTAGGATGGTACAAAACATATCCGAACCCGAAGTGTTATTAGCCGAATTCAAAACACCGAATAACCAAAAAAACCAAGAAAATATGAAAATCGATCTGAATGTCCAAATTAATCACAAGTATAAATATTTGAAGAATAAACATGTAATAAAATATTCAATTTTTATATTTATTTTGAAATTTTATCTAAAATAAGTATTTAAATTTTAAATAAGTATTCTAAATATCCAATTCTGTATAAATAAATATTAACATCTTATGTTTTTGTTTTTAAATTTCTGATTAACTTCCCATATATCCAAACCGAACTAATATAACGTGTATCTGAACAATATATGATTAATTTATGGATTTTATAGTGTCATACAAATTAATATCAAAACCGATGTATTATATTCTAAGATGATTCATACTTATAATATGAATTTATTTTTTATTTGTTCTATTTGTCAAATTATTTTATTACTATATTAATTAAATATTTATTATAAAATAAATTAATTATATGGCGTTCAACTCTTCTCATACTTGATAAATGTTTTAAATGTTTATAAAATAAACTGCAAGAAATTTTATTTGTAAATCATGATATATAACTCAATATACCATATAATCAAATAATATTAACCTAAACTAAATTTTACTATTATATTTTATTAAATTAAATTATATTAAATTATATTTAATATTCTAATTTAGATATTATATTAAAAATATAGTTATTTGTTGTTATACATATCTTATTTTATTTTATTTTTTGCTAATAACTGTAGTATGTTGTAAACTATATGAATATATGTTATTATGTATATGTTTGTAATTTATAATTTACGAAAAAGGTAAATAAACAGATTAATTTATTTTATATATATTGTTTATTGTAATAAGAAAATTATAAATGTGGATTATGTATGTAAAAATATTAAGGAATTGTTATTTCTTATTCTATAAAGTCTAAATTAAAAATGAATTAATTTTCATTTACAAAACAAATTACAATAATACGAATTATTTATTTGAAACAATTGTTAAAAACAGTAAATATCTACATTTTAAATAAAAAATACTAAAATATATTGTTAAAATTTAATATTAGAAAAGGTACTTAATAAGTTTGTTATATCTTATTTTGAAAAGATTTTGTGCATATTTAATAATAATTAAGTTTGTTATATTCAAAATAACAAAAATTAAATAAATGAAATGGTCTAATGTAGACTACTTGTGAGTAGATAAGTACTGTTTATGTATTAATAGTATTGATTTGCAAAAACACAATAACAGTTTTCCAAGAAATAATCATATGATACCATTAACTATATTATGTACTATTATTATTTACCACACTACGTAGGATACGTGCTTTGCGCGGAATGAAATATTTGATCTGGTTATTTATTTGATGAGTTAAAAAAAGATTTATGTAGGATTATATAATCTGTAGCTATGTGCGGTTTTGATTCGGGGTGTTTCTTTTTGTTCGGATTTTTTAGTTCTTAGGTTAATACAAATTAGTATCCATATTACATCAATCTGTAATATTTTTGATCGGTTTATAATGCTCTAATTGTTTTATTTTATTTTATACATACGTCAACTATTTATTTTATTCGATTTAAAGTACAATAATTATTTTTTATTACCAAATAAAGACATACAAATATTATTGATGAACCAACACATGTAGAATGTTAAGAAATATGAACTACTCTATATTTTAGCAAACCAATATTAAAGTAGTAAAATAAAAATAATGTGTGATCATAAAATTTTAAATCCGATCTAACAAAAAAAATTGCTTAAGTTTTGAATATCTACACGGCTATATGGATGCGATTCAAAAAATATAGGAAACATTAACTTTTTAAGGTACACCCTCCTTAATTTAACTGTCATAGTAATGTTGGTACTATAATAAGAATAAGATATATTTTTTTGGGTCAATTTATAAAAGACTTTATGTTGATTGATGGAACAAATCAATAGAGTAATTACAATTATAATAACTGGAAAAAAAAACTCAAATACCAAAAACCATAAAATCCAAAAACATCTTTATATTATATGATGTCAAAGTGAACTTATAAGATGATAAAATGCTTCCGACCCGATTGGATCCGTCTGTTGCTAAGTCGCATAACAAGCTTCTTCTTCTATTCTCAGGGAGATGTAAGGTGCCATAAACCTTTCTCCTAATATTTTCGTATTAATATAATCATGTATACCAAGAAGAAATTATTATATTTTAAAATCATAATTCAATTAATAATTCTCTTGAGAAACAAAACTGAATCAGAGATGACAAACAATTTAAATTCACCAGCTCATTTTTAACAGAAACGTTAATCTTAACACCCTACATATTTTTTATAGAAAAAAGAGTCAGAACTAAAATACATTATAATAAAAAATGCACAATTTTATAAAGCACAATATGAATAACTCACGTTTGAGTTGATGAGAACCATCTCTATTGTTAGGCCTCCAATAGTAGAATACTGTTTCCAGAAACAAATGATCTTCACCCTATTCTTCCACATAGACATAAATGGTGTCAGATTAACCACAAAAATAATGGCAGACATTTTTTTTCAATATCTTATTTATTATTTGTTTGCCTAAATATGGGATACACTATATTTAGGCAAACAAATAATAAAGTGTTAAAATAAAAAATAAATAAAATAATGTGTAATCATAAGATTTTAAATCCGACTCAACAAAAAAAAGATTGTTTAATTTTTAAATGTCCATACAGCTATACGGATACGATTCCAAATATATAGGAAACATTAACCTTTTGATATCACTCAAATTACTCTAGGAGTGAATTACTCGCTCAAATAAGAAGTTCAGTTGTAGTACTTATGCATCGAATCCACAAGAAGCTAGGGTACACAATAGATCTAAACAGTTTATGATTAAGCTAGGCTAATAGTTTATAAAGCAGTAAATATAGCAAGAAATTAATAAAACAGTAAACAAGACAATTGTTCAGCTTGACAGAGAGTTGTTTGATGGAAGGATAGTTGCTAGACTTAGGGTTTTTATTCAGGCATTAGAGATTATAATCCTATAGGTGCTAAACAATTGCATGCATGATATTAAAAAGCTTAACTACTTAACAACAAGTCAATCCGGATCTCGCATTCTGGACTCATCTATTAACTAGATCTAATGACCCAAAAAAGTATGTTTGATCAATAGCAGTACTGTTGATCGATTATTCAGAGGAATATCGATCGATACACCTTTCACCCTGTCGATCGATTCGCCTCTCGGGATATCGATCGATGCGGCTAAAGCGTTATGCAGGAGTTAAACAATGCTCACTAAGGTTCCTAGATAGTGTTCTCGCTATACTCTAACAATCTTAGCTCAATAGAATAGATTCAAAACAATATCTCTAGCAAATCCTAAGATCAAGTTTCTAGGTAGCAATTCTAGAACACAAGCATTAAGAACATCCTAGCAATGAATATCACAACTAGCAATCCTATAGTTGGGGCTAATCTTTTTAACCTATTTGATATCTAAACGTAACACGTGGATCTATCCAGACATGAAGTTTGTCGTAGAAATCATAGATGAATAGATATAACATATAAAAGCGATAGATATAAAAACCAAAGAACCAAAGGAGTTCCAGAAGGACTCTGATAGGAAATCCTCCCTTCTCTCCTAGAACTTAGAACAATGAAAAATAAAGCTTAGCCGTCAACAATGGCTTACAAAACATATAAATAGGATTTCTGGTCGTCCAGGGGTATCTTGGTAATTTAGATTTCTTCTAGGCTTAAGTCGGTCATAAAATACGCTCGGCCTGCGTTCTGGGATCCATATCGATCGATACAAGTAGTTATGTATTGATCGATTTTCCTTTATCTTCTCGACATCTTTCTCTCGTGAGGCTGATTGACCACTCTTCAGTAAAACGGGAATAACTTCTGCTACATGATGCTGATTGACCTCAAACTGGTGGCATTGGAAAGCTAACTCAAAGCTATATCATGTATCAGATGATGGGCTCAATCTACTGGTGAGAAGGTCTCCATCCATAGATAAAAATCAGACGCGTCTGTGCATTTCTGCACACAAAAGGCTCCAAAAGACACCAAACTCACCATATTTTTTCAGAACGTACCTGAACCTGTAAATACTCTAACAAGACTCCAAAAGATAATAATATATCTTAAAACACTTATATACCATGACTTAAAGTGGGTAAAATCCATGGTATATCCACCTTTTAAGGTACATCTCCTTAATTTAATTGTCATAGTAACGTCGGTACCATACTAAGAATAAGGTATATCCTTTTTGGTCAATTTATAAAGAGGATTTCTATTACTTGATAGAACAAATCAATAGAGTAATGAAAATTACAATAACTGAAATAGAAAAACTCAACTACCAAAAACCATGAAATCTAAAAATTTCTATATATTATAGGATGTCAAAGTGAACTTATAAGATGATAAAAAGCTTCCGACCCGATTGAATCCGTTTGTTGCTAAACCACCATAAAAGGCTTCTCCTACTCTCGGAGGTGGCGCAAGGTGCCATAGACTTGAATGGCTTCAGGTCAACCAGAACAGTAATGGCAGCCATTATTTATTTATTTTTTTCAACGATTTCAGTTAAGAGGATGAAAAAATTAAATAGGAGGAAAGGATCTTATATATATTCAATATACCTACAGTGGTATCATAAAATCTTCAAAAATCTCACATTATTACACAAATATATTAAACTTGCCAATCACACTTTATTCAATGTATTACCATACCACACGCCGAGAATATACGCCAAATAAATATTACTTTGATAATCACTCATCACATACAATATCGGTTAATATCGATATGTCTAACATTCATTATCTGTTTAATAAAGCTGCACTGGTTTTGCATTTGTACGTAAATTAACAACAATAATATCATTATGGAAATCGACAATTTATCATATTCAAGATAAAAATACACTTGATTGTAAAAACGTTTTTCGAGTTAGCTAAAATTGTTTGATCATCCAAAATAGTTCATCAGTACAGAGGAATGGAGACTCAATTGCATTATGATCAACTTGATCATAAACAAAGTCACGCAGACAGACACTGTAAACAAAACATAGCTTTGTATTATAGCTCGAGCCAACATTGATCTCAAGTAATGGGAACACCGAGCGTTTTTGATGGGAACACTGCAACTCTCTGCGGATTGGCTAAACTCGGCATGTGTTCTTATCCTATCAAAGCAACAAGGGTCACACATTTGAAGTAAGCTTTCAGCATCAAAAGCAAAAAACATACTCTTTACATACTCTCTAAACTAAACAAACCAAATGCATGGAAGAAAATAGAGCAAAGGATAACTATGTTTCTACACAGTTATAATTCTTCAACTGTCAATGAGAATGGCTTTAATCTTCAAAATCTACTAACGTGTTTGTTAGATTTTTCTTTGATCATTGTCTTCAAAAGCTACTAACGTGTTTGAGATGTATGTATTTTATCATTGCTCGTTTAGTTTCATGTATTTTATCTTCGGCGTGTGTTCTTGTTCTATCATTAATCCTCTTGACTCAAACATGAAAGTACGTATCATTCTTCGTTTAGCTCAGATGGATCCTACACAATTGCAGCACCCAGAGAATAAAAACACATTCGGTTTAAAAGGTCGTAAAGCTTTGCTGAAAAGTTCAAAATAGGAATAAGTGTTTAGAATCATGTGTGATATGATCCAAAGCATACAAAATAACCACCAATTTAACATGTTCTTCTAATATGCATTTTCCATTTGATTATGGGTTGCGTTCACACATTATAGAAAAGATATATGTATTTAAGGAAAATAGTTGTTTGCATTAAAAACCTTAACTTTTGTGAGAATCGTTCTCCATTTGACACGTAAGCAAATATCGAAATAGAAGCATCACCTGAAGCGAAGTCACCTAACTTGCTAATGACTTTTAAGATGAGTTTTAAAAATGGTTCTTCTTTAATATATTGGGGATTACCAAATACTATAGTATTATTTTCGTTTTGCTTTTCTTTTGACCTCTTTTATGGTTAAAGTCTTCTGAAAAAGATTCTCCCACTTTACACAAAATCCAAACTAGACGTGGGCAAATGTCATTTCCCAAGTTCCAACCAACACGGCTCTCTGCTCTTCCTTATCGTCGGTCGATCTAAGATCTCATACTACACAAATTCATAATGGATTCTTCGTCATCAGTAAGAATCGTCTCAAAATGCTTCTTGAAACCCAAAACAATCCCAGAAGAATCAAAGAAACCATACTATTTGTCCCCATGGGACTACGCTATGCTCTCAGTTCACTACATCCAAAAAGGCCTCCTCTTCCGCAAGCCACTTTACTCGATTGATACTCTGCTTGAGAAGCTTACAGAATCTCTAGCTGTCACGCTAGTTCATTTCTACCCTCTAGCTGGTCGCCTCTCAACGCCAAAAGCAGAAAAACCAAAATCATACTCAGTTTTTGTCGATTGTAACAACAGCCCTGGTGCTGGTTTTATCTACGCGACTTCATATTTATGTGTAGCAGACATTGTTGGCCCCAAACATGTTCCATTGTTTGTTCATTCTTTTTTTGACCACCACAGAGCTGTTAATCATGATGGACACACCATGAGCCTCTTATCAGTCCAGGTTCGTATATTCCCCTGACCGTGTTTAGAAAATATAAAAATGGTTAAAATCAGGTTATCTTCTTAACCACGATTACTAATTTACTAATATAAGTAGGTGACATAATACAATCGTTTTAGTTTTTTCCTAGAGGTTTGGTTTTTGGATATGGTTTTCGTTTGGATTGCACCAGTTAAACTAGATTAGACACAGTGATAAACAAATTTGAGAATCTAGATCGCTAATTTATGACTTGGGTTTGTACCCTTGTATAGGTGACAGAATTACAAGATGGTATTTTCCTAGGAGTGTCGATGAACCACACGATGGGAGACGGCACTTCGTTTTGGAACTTCTTTAATGCTTGGTCCGAGATCTTCCAAGCACAAGAGAGCAACCAAACTGAAGCCTTGTGTCTTAAGAATCCACCGGTCCTAAACCGCTATATCCCTCAAGGATATGGTCCCCTCTACAGCCTTCCCTACAGCCATCCCGATGAATTTATCAGACCTTACGAATCGCCAGTTCTCAAAGAGAGAATATTCTGTTTTTCATCAGTAACAATAAGAATGCTTAAAGAAAAGGTTAACCAAATGTGCGGAACAACCTCAATCTCATCGCTCCAGTCGCTAACTGCAGTTATATGGAGATGCATAACTAGGGCAAGAAGATTACCCCTTGAACAAGAAACAAGTTGTAGACTTGCTGCTGACAACAGAGGAAGGATGTATCCACCACTTTCCCGGGATTACTTTGGAAATTGCATCTCTGCTTTGAGAACAGCTGCAAAAGCCGGTGAATTGTTGAAGAATGATCTTGGATGGGCTGCCTTGAAACTGCATCAAGTGGTAGCGGAACAGACTAGTGAAAAGGTATCTCAGATGATTGATCAGTGGTTGAAGTCTCCTTTCATTTACCAAACTGATCGGCTTTTTGAACCGATGAGCGTTATGATGGGAAGCTCACCAAGGTTCAACAAGTATGGTTGTGAATTTGGGATGGGAAAAGCACTGACGCTTAGAAGTGGTTATGCGCATAAGTTTGATGGGAAAGTTACAGCTTACCCGGGACGAGAAGGAGGAGGAAGCATAGATTTGGAGGTTTGTCTTGTTCCAGAGTTTATGGAAGCTTTAGAATCAGATGAAGAGTTCATGTCTCTTGTTTCTGTCTGATAAATTAACAAGCTCTTCCCAGTTTTTCAACATTTGTAATTTGTTTATCACCCATCTTCTTTCTTGTTATTCACCTCAGTATGTTTACCATCATTTTCTTTTTTTTTTTGAACTGGTGTTTACCATCATTTTCATTCAAGCACAAACTTTTTATTATGTTTTGTCCACTAATAGTTGTCGAGGAAACACTTCGTCTCTGACATCTGCAAAGTGCGAGAATATGTTATGCAAAACTTATGCGTACGTTCCCAAAAATATGCGTATGCCCGCCAGCTTTACAAACAATATCTAAACAGAAATTCCGTCTCCATATATTTTTAAGTGCCAATATGAATCTATTCTAGCGAAAGAATGATATTCAAGATCCTGAGTTAATAATCTATCACATTTTAGTTTTTTTCGTAAATGAAAACAAAACAAAACAAAACAAAATTTAATCCATTTCAAAACAATAAAAAAAAAATTTAATACTAATAAACTATCATGATTTTTTCCGTAAATATTCATTTTATTGAACACTCATTCTAAACCCTCTACCGAGTCTTCCTTAAACGAATAACTTTCTTGTTACTATTTCACTAATCATCCTCCCGACAGTCTTCTGTAGTATGCTTTCTGAGGCATATCAGGAGAATACTTGCTGAAATTTAGTATTATATTTTCTTTAGTGGAGCTTATGGATTATTTGACCACAAAACTACCAAATCAAAATATGCACAAAAATTAGTGGATGTTCAATACAAAACAAATTCTCTTACTCAACCATTGTAGAAATTTTGATTTCACTGGCGCGTCCAATATTCGAGGAATAAGAGATGCTTATAAACTACTTACTTACTAAATGCAAAGACGCCTCTTAATACTCGGTAGTTGGTACTACACCCCTACAATTTGGCTCTTCTTGATAAGAAAACGCCGTTGTTTCCAATCAAATAAGCAGCTTCAAATGAGCACTAAACGAAACTCTAATTTTCCGGTTCATTTGATCTTTATTGTGAAGCTTGTTCGTGTTCTAAAATCCATACAGTTAAAAAGCTACCTTCTCTTACTCTGTTCGAGTTAATCTCCACAAACCTAACTTCTCCATAGCAAAACATATATGAAATCTTGACATGTTAAAGACTAAGAGCAAAACATCATCTAGATACCCCAAGCAATTCAGACTAGGTAGCTTACCGATCATATTCCAGATACTAAACTTTACAAAACTTATAAGCTCTATCCAAAATAACCTGCAACGGCAACTCCTGATCAGTATTGTCCCTAACAAACAAGAACAAACCCTTAACTATTTGAGGAAGCAATGCGAAGATTATCTAGTGAAACACACACTCATCTCATTCCAGGACAACCATTATCTTTTGGCCTTTCCCCTAAAGGGTAACTAAGATTCAAAGCTTACAGAGACCGACGCGAGATACAAACTTTCAACATCAACTGTGATTAAGCTATGAAGCAGGAGGCCGTGAATCTAATCTCGTTTTCTAAAACGTGTTTCAACTGTGGTTACTAAATGATCTTTATGCTCAAATCAAAATAATCGTAACGCACACCCGAATAGTCCATTATTATTATTAAGTCGAGAAGCTAAGAGTATGCAACGATACATTGAGCAAGAAACAATACCCAATCATACAAATTATTGTTAAGGCTTTTATTGGAAAACAAGAGAAGATTTTCGATTCATAAACCTGATCATCGATCCAGCCTGAAACAAACAAACAAACAATATCAATCGTGGTAAAAAAAAAAAAAAAAAAAAAAAAAAAAAAAAAAAAAAATATCAATCGTTGTTCTATGACACCAAAGAAAGAGAAGATATGTCTCGTTCGTACGTACCTTAAGTGGATGGTGCAAGAAGTGGGCGAATCAAGTTAGGAAGATGAGCCTGGTGATCCTCAAGGCGACCCTTAACACTGTCTCCATCCCAGCGAACAAGTGTTGGGACACCAGTGACCTTGAATCGAGGATCCACTCTCCACGGATGCATCGGATTCCTCCACGTCGGCCTATCTCCCGCGTACGCCCGAATAACATTCACTTCCTCCGTTGATTCCTCTAGAGTCTTGTAAATCACAGGCTCAGCTCTTACGCAATCTGATTATATAACAACAAAAAAAAAGATGAAATCGACTGAATGAAATTGAAAAAAATGAAAAATCCTAAACGGACCAGGACACCAGCTGCGGTTGGTGGTGGGATCATTGTTGGCGAGGAAGAGGATCAAATTGATTTTGTCAGGTTTCAATTCTCCCAACACCGTCTCCAAGGTTGAGGGATCTGCGTCCAACTTGTTCAGAGTCATTTTTCTTCTTCTCTACAACACTCTAAGAAGATTTCGATTTCTTTACCAATTTCGTTGGACTGCTGTCCTTAAATTGAGGCCCGTGTTTGATTTTTCAACTTTAGTGGACATTCTAATATCTACGTCATTTATATGGGGTATCGGTTCTTTTTCATAAAAGTTATCATTTGTGGTTGTGGGCATAGTTTTTTTTCATGCTAATACCTAAAGCATCTCCAATATAATTATTAATGGAATAGTTTCATAACAAAACTAGTTTTACTTCAATCCTAATATATTTTGTATTAAAAATAAAACGATGAAAAGTAAAAGAAAAATAATTACTCTATTTATGAAATTTTATTCTATTATGGACTGGCAACTGAAGTGGAAATCGAATATTTCTTACTCCAAACTTCAATTTAAAATAACATATGGACTAGAGTGAAAGATGCTATAAGGCTATCACATAAATGATTTGGATATTTCATATATCTCGTTTATTCGTATCAGCATAAAAAATTATAAATTAATAAATTTTCTTAGTTTTAATTTAGACCAATACAAAATATTACATCAATTAATAAAATAATAAAATAGTATTTTCACTAAATGTAATATAAATATATGATTTTAGTAAAATCATTTACAATTAAATATATTTAAAGATTATTTTTACGAAACTATCAGTAAGATATCAAAACATTAACATACAAAAGTATATTTTAACTCTATAATTCACAATGAGTATTTGGGAAAAACAAAAGAAAAACATAGGTTTCTCTATAGGAAAGTTAATGATTACATACAAATGTGGGAATAATATAATTTAAAACCATATAATAAACTCCTTGCATCAAAATACTATGGTCCGATTCAATAAACCACATTGATTCAAATGCTAACACAAAAAAAGATTTAAATATCAACAAAGAAATAAAGTTTGTATTTAGTTTAAAAAAAAAGTAAAGTTTGTATTATAATGGTTACATAGAAATGCATCGTCGAACGAAAACTCCGTGTCAAATTTAGTTTCTCTACAGATATAAAACCATAAGATAGTCATAGATCCTAAAAATATGAACATACAACCTAACTCAATAATTTACAATGTCTAAAACCATTAGACCAAAATATATTTCGAAATTGATTGAAATATTTCCAAATGGATTCTTCATATTTATATTTAAATGTTCAATACATAATAGATTATATTCAGTTATTTAAAAGGCAACCGCATAGTGTATATCCAATGGCATAGTATTGTAACTACTCTAGTCTTTTATGTCAATTTCTTTAAAAAGATTGAAAATGTTTGTAAGGCTGTCATGTAAACAATAACAATTTTGTTAATCACATGAAAAAAATTTAAACAAGATAATTTTATTTTCTCAAAAAAAAATTATTTTATTAAGTTATAAACAAATTATACATAATAATGAAAACACAACAAATAACATAGATAAAATGATTCATAAGGAATAGCTTGAGAAAATACTTCTTTTTGAGAGGTTTTTGTTAATAGAAACTCTATTAATTTAAAGGGAAAATTGCCAAATATGACTCAAAACTTGATTTGAAATGCAAAAGTAAACCCAAACTTGAATCAAATGCAAAAGTAACTTAAAAGGCTATTGAAATTACAACCAACTCCTTGTGAACAAACAAAAAACGCGAATTTTTTTTACGTTTCTAGCCCTCGTAAGTCGTCTGCCCAGACGACTTTCAAATAAGTCGT